AAAACGAGAGGGCACGCGCCCGACCCCGGTAGCAGACGACAAAACAGGAGGTTGCCATTCTCCATCTTAGGGCTGTACCGGCGGGCTGTACCGAACATGGAACTCTCGCTCGTGGCTGCCGTTGTGAAGTGGTTCGCGTTCTTAGAATAGCTATGGCTACTCCAAAGTCAGCCTATAGCTTTCTGTTGTTCTATTTCGGTAAACGATCAACTAGCACATCTTTTTTCTGTTACTTAATAGCAGTTGAGTCAGCCGGCAGTACCCTCAACTACTGCGCGTATTCCGGCAGGAGAGCACGTTTTTATTTATTATTTTAGATTTCCCCTCATGATCGCTAAAGGTCCACACCAGTACGAACTTTGTGTAGTAAAAAAGGTACAGCAACCGGATTTACTTTTCGCCGGAAAGACCGGCCAATCTGACACAGTTTTCCATATCTTTTTTTTATTTGCACGCAGGTAACAGCGCAATGGGACCCTGTTAGTCTTTTTATCTAGATTAGTATTACACGATAACTGCAAAATCTGCGCATCTGCGCTTGAAATTTTCAAAATGATGCGATTTTAAACAGAGTTTGTACGCCAGCTGGATGCTAGGTACAGCCCACTCGGCGGAGCAGACGACACGCGGGTGAGAAGGGGAGGGCATTTTTTTCTCTTTTTACCCTCCCTGCTATGACCCTAATGGAACGGTCTATAGAATGCAACGTATTTGTTCATACCTCCCCAATGTTTGAGGAGGCTTAAGCATCGCTGCATAAATGCCACGTATTGTACTTTCCTTTTATGAATGTTGTTAAATTCATGATAGAACTTGACAGTTTGGGGCAGTGAAGTACTACGTTCTTATATTTTTAATAAATAATAATAAATTAGTTCCCATGCTGGAAGACGCCAGACCGCTAAAGAAAAAATTGTGTCGAAAGACTTTCGTTCCCCCGGCAAATAAAATTGCGACAGTCAGTCATATATGAATATTTTACAAGCATTAATTTAAAACTAAAATCCACACGCGCTAATACGACCGCGTTCGCATACAAACATCATGGTATTGCACATTATTTACAGTGAGTTGAAATTATAATGGCTCAGAAATATACAAGAACCGAATCGGGGCTTCCGAATCATTGGTGACAATATTCACAGGTGCGAGGTCAGCCTCCAAAATGCTTATGCAAATAATATCCGAAGTAAAACCAACAGGAAATAAACTTGAAAATAATACAAAGATACAAATATGCGACAATACAGAAAGAGGGACGTATAAAACTAAAAAAAAAAACAAAAAACAACAACAACAACAAAACAGACAATTAAAATTCCCAAGCTCGGCTGAAAGCTGAAGCTCAATTTTTACTTTCTTTCAATATTTCGGCATGTTTATGTTATCGTTTTCTGCTCGCTGCGCAGACGGCGCCATATATGGCGCCGTTGAGGTAGACTCCAAAAAGATTGTCTTCAGCCCGCAGTGTAAGCAACAAAACAAACAACGCAATACTTTTTTTGTTGTGCGTGTATGTGCGTGCGTGTCTATGTGTGTGTGCGAGTGTGTCACCGAGCTTGTGCGAGCGCCGAGGCTTTCAGAGAGGTTCCGTCGGCTCCACAAAGTCTTGTAAAAGTAATTGTGCCTGAATTTTTGCAATTACTGACGTCAGAAAGTAATTAAATAACAACTGCAGTTCCTTTTAGCCGAAAGTAATAATTACAATTACAAATAATTAAATTACAGTATTTCAATTACTGTAATTGAATTACTGCCCAAGTATGCTGTGTACCAGCAGCGTTGTGTCGTCTGCTCGTAATCTGCCTCAACCTCGCTTGCACCTCTGCATTTTAATCTCAACCGCTTGCTTGCTTGCTTCACGCCTAGCCTTCGATCTGACAAAACCTATCGGACGGAGCGCGCGCAAGCTTGCAAGGAATCCTCCTGCAATCAACCATCCATCTCGCACGTGACATGTCACGCGCACCAATTGCCAGAGATCTGCGGTCACGTTGGGCACAATATCGTTTAAACGTTTTTATGGCTAGGCTTCACATATATTGCAACGTGCCCCTCCTAGTATTTATAACCTGCTTGGCCGACACCCCACGCGTGCATGCACTTTCTGCGCCGAGAAAATTGAGCGTGCGCCAAAATGCAATCCCGCAATGTCCCGCTCCGGCGAGGAGCGATAGCAGACGACAAGGGGTCGTTACAAGTACGTTAAACATCGTAGCAGACGACAAGGGGTCGTCCGCAACGATGTGTCATTCGTACAGCGGAACCGAAAGGAAAAAAAAGTAGATTTTCTGAAAGAAATCGTGTCCCGCGGGCAACGCAATCAAACCCGAGCTTGAATAGTGAGCGTCTGCTATTTCATGAAGAAATCAATCAACTCGCGCTTTCTTTGCAAGTTTTTACTCGCTCTGTTGGCGTACAGACGCCGAAATATATCAGTGTGTAAAGAAATGCTCAGAACAAACGCATCAGCGGCCTCCGAGATCTTTATCACCATCCGTGTGCAGGTGAAAAATTTAACATTTGTCGACAAAGATCCCCCAAGCAGAAACCTAACTGCCGAATAAGCATCCGAGAAAGCTGAACATAGTGACTTTACCGGAGGCTTGGGCAACTTCAAGGGTAATATTACCACCCTTGCAGTTTCTCGCCCATTGTGTGTGTGACTTGTCGCTGTCGTGAAATCTGCTGCACTTAATGTTGCTAAAAAAACATAAAAAAAAAAAAAAAGACAATTAGTACAAACCTTTTGGCTATGGTGCGGCATTTTCCTCAAAATGAAAAGTGATACAGGTATTAAGTCCGAGACTCATTTGACTTTTCCTGAAAAAGTTGCTCTCAGGTGGCTATTACACATACACTTTAAAAAGAGTCCGTGCGTCTATTTTCCGCACAATACTCGGAGAGCCAATCACCGCCACTTACAGAGGCAGCTCGGCGAATGACGATGCCGAAACACACGTTTAGACTCAAAAACGCAGTCCGAGTTGTGACATTAAGCAATGCAAAACGTCACGCTTGGATTGCTTAATGTCACAACTCAGACTGTGTTTTTTGGTCTAAACATACATTTAGCCATCGTCATTTGCTGAGCTGCCTCCATAAGTGACGGTGATTGGCTCTCAGAGTGTTGTGCGGAAAAGTAGACGCACAGGCTTCGTTTAGAGCAGCGGTTCTCAACCGTTGATGATTTGCGGCCCCTGTATTGATCGGCGGAGATGATAAAGGACCCCGTTCGTGGCGAGGAAAAGTATATATTAATATGGTAATGATTTATTACGTGGATATTTCCAAGGGCTGGTGTCAAGTAGACTTCTCTCATTGACATATACACGAGAAAACTCGCCCGAAAATTCGAACGCTTTTTCTCAACTGGATAAAAGACAACTTTTATTGCAGGGCTTGACCGGCGAGGCAGGGCTTCGTGGACACCTAAATTCTTCGCGGACCCCCGTTTGAGAACCACTGTTTTAAGGCTCGTTCACACACGTGCAACCGAGTACGTACGACCGAGAGAGACCAGACCGGTTTTTCAGCCTCTTACGACGTCTTAGGACCAGCTCCGCAGTTTAAGGCCCGTTCACACTCTTGCGACCTCTTAAACCTAGGCTCGTTAAAACTTCTTAAACCAGAGAACACACTGGCGCCATCTATTGGGAAGCAGTGTAAACTCGGCGGTCCGGCATATTTTTTTTTTATTTCTCGCGCAATATCCTTTCTTTTTTGGCTCGAAAAACTTTTGTCAATGTTATAAACGAGCCTTTCTATGGGTATTACGCACATTTGACCTCGGAAATCCCGCAAAACCTTCGCTTTTGTGAAATGCAGTTCTAGGGTCACCGCATAGATGGCGCCACAATGTCAGTGTGTCCCCTCGTTCTAGAAACATTTAAGAAGTTGTAAGAGATCTCGTCTCTCTCAGTCGTACTCGGTCGCAAGAGTGTGAACGGGCCTTTAGTCCTAAGACGTCGCAAAGGCCTAAAAACCGGTCTTGTCCCTCTCGGTCGTACTCGGTCGTACTCGGTCGCCACAGTGTGAACCAGCCTTTAGAGTGTGGTGATGAACCCCTTTTCAGGTAAACCTATGCAAGTCTCATGCCGTCAATATTGCTTTAATTAACTGCTTTTGGGAAAAAAAAAAAAACATCTTGGGGTATGCGGATTGTAATGAGGCTGTTTAAAAAAAATATTTCTTTCACTGCTGCTGTTTCGTAAATAATTCTTATTTAGCTGTCTCTGATATCAGTAAATGGATGAGAAACCTCATAACAATTATATTTTCTATCCTTTCTGTACTCCTTCAAACACATTACAAATTTCCCTCCTAGCTCAACCGTTTCCCGAACCAAAAGGTCCCATATCGCACATAAATATAATTTGTTTTTATACCTTATGGGTTTTCTCAGGCCTGTCATGTTTCCAATAGATACAATATCAACATCGTATCATTATGCAAATGATTCAAACTGTTGTAGATTGCATACTCCAGTCATTCTATGTGCGTTCGTCGTCTGCAGTAGGCGTCTCGAGATGTCTCGAGGACTGGAAGTTGCTGTCATAAATATTTCAGAAACAGCCAATTCTCGGCAAACTTCTGTCGTGGTAAGTGTGAAACTTAGGCTCCCTATATCTATTCTTTTTAGATGGTTGAATCCCCCACACAGATTTTTGATCTCTTGCTATTTTGGAGCGATATCCGGTTCCATGTATATTTGCGACATCAGACTTACAGGGTCAATTGAATTACCACCCAAGTATGCTGCAAGTTATCGGGACCGGGCGGTGGCGCAATAGCGCAACCTGCCGGTGATGATGATGATGGCTGGAAACCGAAACTGCATGAAACCTCGTTTACGCGTATTCTGGAAAAGCTTAGACTTGTTCGGATCCACACATACAATACAAATTCAAACGTTACAGGCAAAAAAGACTTCATATCATGTGCAAGCTTTTACGGTAAATGTGTGACGCAAGGTTTAAGAAGCTACAGGAGTCTGTACATTGTGGCACTGAATTGTTCGCATCCCCTTTATTACTACAGCAGACGACAGCGTCCAGGTGCCCAACAGTACGGTTTGTATACTCTCCTTCCTCCATTTCCCATAAACTTCCTAGACTGAAAGAAAAGGTTGAACCAACACTCCTTGAATGCTCCATCAACATGGTGCCCTCAGTCGTCCCAGGTGTCTCCGTAGTCGTTCTTCTTTGCACCTAGAGAGACAAATCATAAACATCAAAACGTGAAACGTCGGCAACAAAGAACAAAAGCAAGGAAGAGCCTACCAGCCTTTGTTCGGGGTTGACAATGTCAACCCCGAGCAAAGGCGTTGTCACTCAACGAGACGAATCCCTCGAAGCAAAGGCCACTGTCGCTCGATAGCTATGATCATAGTAATGGCACTCTCTCCTAACGTTTTACGCTACTATAGTAGTTAAAGCCGTTTCACACGTCTGCACGTCAACCTTTTTACGCACCCTTCTTTCACCTTGGGCTTGAACTGATTCACGCAATTGTACGGGTGACCACTCCTCGTAGTGTATAGATTCAATCTCACAAATATTGCGAAAGCTTCGGCCTGGCTGTACTCAGATCGTAGGAGTTTCACGAGTGTCTGATAGATGGTGCCAGCGTGAAAGTGTGTTTTCTGGTCGCAAGTGCTAGCAATGTGCTTGGTTGCACTTAAATGTCCACATGGTGCGACGTCCGTTCATAAACCGGTGGTTCTTAGGTGGCGGCGGCATCAGTTACACAGGCATTCGTGGGTGCTCTTGGCGACAGGTGCGAATTTAAAATGCGACTCCCATTACACGGGTTTACATCGGTGGTTTTCCGATTTGCATGAGTTGTTATAACGTGTAGAGGAATGTCCGGCAAAATAGATCCCATTCGACAATATGACTCCAGTGACACGGCTCAAAACTGTGGCTGGTGTGATGGCAGTTGTGAGGGCTAGCCTTTTTTTGTGGTTGCAACGGAAACATTCGTGGTTACAACGTTGGCCGGCGGTTTGACGGCTATGGGTAAGCACGTTCGTCAATATGTACAACTGTTTCCTTTGTATGTGGTGTTGGGGCTTGGGGTTGCCAGTTTGGCCGAATTGCTGCGACAGTTCGGCAAGGTGAATGGGACATGGGTAGTCAAACTGCGGCTCAGAAGCTGTACGTGACTCTTTGTGGCTAAACGTGAGGGTATTGTGATTTGAGAACGCTCTAAAATAACAATTCGGCCAAAAACCATCGCTATTCGTAAACACCTTGCAACGAGCTAAAAATGATGTATTGTGACATACTATTAGTAACTGAAAAATGATACACAGCGTTCAGTTAATGAGCACACGAAAATGAAACTTATTCACCTCGGGTACAGAGTGGGTTCCGTTGCAAAGTTGCATGGCTCTTGTAATTTGTTAAAAGTCTTTGCTGCTCCCCTTTAACACCGTGCAAAGGCCGCGAACGTCACTTTTGCATGGACAGGTCAACCGAAGGTACAACCATCATCTACCTTCGCTCGTCGGTCTTCCAGTACAAGACTCCGCATTACCTTAAAGGGCAACTCCGCTTCATTTATGGTTTTGAAAAAACAATGCAGTCCTCTTCAGTATCGCCTAGGAAGACCACACGTCAAATATTACGACGCAGTTCTGTCTAAATGTTTCTTAAACGGTCCGGCAAACTTTGCAACTCGCCAAGTTGCAGAAATCGGCTGACTCGAGCGGGCAAATTCAGGCGCAACCAACAGCGCAGTTAAGGCTACGGCATGGGCGGAGCCAACATTGAGCTAAATGTCATCATCATGGCCCCCTTTTGCTTGTTTTTACTTCTCCGATCGAGCATAGCGCATGACGTCAGCAACGTTGCCTCTCGGCGCTCAGCAGTGTCCACATGATTGGCGTACGCGCCTGCGCAGCGCGCTTCTTGGGAGCAGACCAACCGCCCGCCGTGGTCCCGCCGTTACCGCCATCTTCCGCGTCACAACCACTGTCGTCGTCTCACCGTTTGTGATTTTTACCTTTCGGAGTTTCGTCCACACTATGGACACCACGTGCGCAGAGTCACAGACTTATGCCGCAGTTGTGCAGACATCGTCGAATGTTGTAGACACCAAAACGTGGCGAACAGTGCGGTGCAGACGACACTCGCGCCTGCCGCACGCCCGACCCCATCCCGCCCGTCGTTGGGCCGATGATCACGTGACATCTCGTACCACGTGATGGCCATGTACTTGGTGGCCCGAGGCCAATGTTGCCGGACGGAGCTGAAGTTTCGGTTTCGATTTCCGCTCGTGTTTAAAATTAGACTTGAAAATATACATCCCATTTTTCGCGAAGCAGACGACGTAGTGTCTTTTATTAGGGCTTTTTAATTCGAAATCACTCATTATCCCGAAATCTTCGGAATTGAGCGGAGTTGCCCTTTAAAGGGATCGCCCGGTCAAAACCAAAAGTACTTAAGTTTTTACGCTTGTTACGACGAGGAAGCCTTCATATAGACAAACGTCATTTTTATTTTGATATATGATCTCCCCTCATTAATTAAACCTTTCATGAGCATATGTATGAAACTACACCCCGAATTTCGCCAGTGTCAATGGCTGACATTCGTAGCTGCTACGTGACATCACAAAACCCAAAGGTTTGTCGGATGGTTGGGATAAGAAGCATTGGTCAATGGGTGTCTTGTACTTTGTTTCGAATTATATAGTCTCCTAGGCTGTACCCTACTGAAATATGTTTATTTTAATGCACTTCCCAAGCGTGTGCAAAAAAAGTCACGACTTTTAGCAGGATATTAGTCAAAAACAGCCATAACCTTCAAGCCAACGTATGCCATTTCGCGCAAACATAACTACGACAGACATTGATTGAACTGGGAGTGCATGCAAAGCAAAGGATGTGGATTTTGCCTCTGAAGCGGCACCTAGCTACGCGAAGCGGCGTCTGGGTACACTTATCGGCGGATCTACTGGATCGGTGATGAGCCTGCGGGTTGTTCCTTAGGAGGCGATGTCCACGGGTCGAAGGCAAACGGCGAATTGTTCAAATACACATCGTCACTTGGACGAGCTTGGTGAATCGTAGCTATGCTCCATTTTCACACGTGGGTCAAACAGAATCTGGTGGCATGCGTGCTAAATACGACTTCTGGCATCGTTTCCAGATGGCCTAGCCGTTGGTTTCGGTTTTGCTGCATAATCAAACCGATTGATCCGATTTGGGTGAAGAGTGGGTGGACGTGATTGAATATCGTTGGCGCAGCATCACACTTCAGCTTAGGAGCCTTCTGCCCGCTTAGAGCTCAGCTCATAGCTCTCTTATGTGAGATGATTGCTGCATAAGCGGGATCTCAATCTTGACGGGAACCGAGTTCCTACGCACGGCGACGATCGATTTCGCTCGTCACTGCGCGTTTTGGGGAAAAGTGTGGAACGTCACGTCTTCGCTCGCATGTGCTGCCCCGCGGTTGTGGCACCCAACCGTGCAACAAAAATCTCGCCCATCCACGAAACAAGTCGAGCGCAACAACAAAAACGAAGCACGCTGTGGCCTTCACTAGCAGGTAAACGACGAGTGGGAAATGCTCACTTCGTGTTGTGTGACGTCAGAGCTTCAATGTTGCCAACGAAAGGAGCGTTTAAGCTAGGATGCGAGTGGAGCAGTAGAAATTCAATTACTCGTGCAGAGGGGTATATAAAATTTGGATACTGCACGCATGATGCGTCTCGAGGCAATAACAATGATATTCAATTGTTTTCTCGAACACAAAATTAGACCGGACAATTCCTTTATCTTAACAAAGTGTTGACAACTTCCTGGTATGCACAAAACTATAGGACGGTACAAGTGAACGGAGTGCGTCGAAGCAAAAACAACGGCCGAAGTTAATTGGGCTCCAAGCAACGTCTCAAACTACAAGTCTGTGGCGCTGGCTTTTCCATGGCCTTTACGGGAGGCCAGCGTGGGACGCAGATGTCAAACACAGGTGCCGTGCTGGCATTCGGCCGATGTCTGCACCGAATGAACGCAAGTCGCAGCCGAATGCCAACTCGGCACTTGCATCTCCTACCCGTGCCCCGCGCTCGATCGAGGAAGTTAGTGCAAAAAGATCCAGGACTACGGACTTGTTATTTAAAAGGCGCGGTGCCGGGAACGCGTCTTCGAACGATGGGTTCAATGCCCTACACCGCCCACGCATGGAAAGCGGTCCCATGGTGGCAACGAATGACGTCCCAGGAGCCGGCAACTCATGCTGTCGGACGTCGCGACCCCGGCTATCGGTGGTGGAACCTCCGGCAAGAAGCGCGAGCAACTAATGTCAGTGTTGTCGCAGCATCGCAACTCTCGGCCACTGCAGCTTCTGCGGATTGCTGCGCTGGAGAGAGCGACCCGCAACAGGACGGGCGGTGCCGGAGCAACAATTTTCGCGACGTCGTCGAGCAAAACTCGAGGTACCGCGTATGGGGACGGGGTGACCACACCTGTCGAAAACACATTCCAGACACCGCGGTTTAACACTTTGAAGACGATTGTTGCCTATGGGCAACAAACAACGTTACAATTTTTTTTAAGTTTCAATCTCATTTCGTTTTTTTAGTCTAGTAATCTGGCAACAGCTTTGAAGATGGAAACTATGACGACATCTAGTGAAAAGGTATGCAAATAGTCGAGGAAAAAAAAGAAACAAGATGGCGCACAAATATGCGGCCACCGAGAATGGCAGAACGGCGAAAAATATGGATAAGTGTTTTTCCCTGGCTGCTAATATTTTGCGACAGGAGACTAGAGGCTATTGTATGCGCAGTATTGACTTTTTGTAGTGATCCATACAGGTTACGCGAGGAAGTCGCCATTGAACTATTACCCGGCGTTGCCCATAGGAAATAAATTTGCTACAACGGCCAAGTTTTCCTTATGATAATTTTTTTTTATTTCAGCTCTGTTTTTTTAGTTGATCTAGTTAAAGGGTCACTTCAGTCCATAGTCCCGATTGGGGGATTACGACTATTCTTAGCGCAGTCAGAGTCCCTGAATTACAGGGCCTAATTTATTTTCAGTATTGTGCATACTTTTCAAGATATTGACGCCTCAAAGTTTTGTTTGGGGCGCAGTCGACTAAACTGAAACTAGGCGCTCAAAACGACGGACACTGGAAATGAGCCGCCAGGCACACGTGACATCATGGCCGTTCTCGCCCCCGTATTGTTCGCATGCAACGAGTACTCGGTTCAAGCGGCACCTGCCTCTGTTGCGCTGGTCTTTCTTGGGCAGTGGTTACTATACTTCGTTTCACCTTATGTTGTACCGCAGAGAAGGCTAGAAGCGCGAGCTCATAGCGTTGGGAGCTGCTCTTAGCGCACGAGAGCTTGTGCCGCCGAGATATGCTCCAGAGCAAGGAGCTCGCGTTTGTAGCCTGTCCTGCGGTACATCATAAGGTGAAACAGAGTATAGTAATGCATTACCGGTAACTAGTTACTTTTTTCAGTAACTCGTTACTGCTTAGTGAAACAAACCTCTAACTAACTGTGCCAGAGTACTACTTTTGGAAGTAACTGTAAAAAGTAACTTCGTTACAGTTACTTGTCAGATTCATGTGCAAAAATATTGCAAACACGACCACAAATTCGTCTCGCAACTCGTGAGAGTCCCAAGTCCTGGTACGGAAAGGGCACAGCAAAAACAGCAGCAGAAAACGTCCGGGGCAGGAAGGAAAAAAATAGAAATATAAAGAAACTAAATTTTGGGTGACCCTGCTTGGCCAAGCTAGTACCACCGAATGGGAGGATGGGGACGTCTGTGTCCGCACCAGCTGTATATGGTACATCGACCACAGCGCACGCAGATGTAACAAAGCGCGGCATCTATAAAACGTTTTTCTTTTGTTCGTCTGGCGGAGGGAGAGAGTTCATTTTGTAGAGGACATGGCGCTTGTCGCCCCAAACGCCCGCAGGCTTACGGCACAACCGATTTTCCGAGCTTGCCTTCTTCCCGCCAAGCATACGGTTCCTTCCCATCTCATTTCAATCGTCCAAATCCCAGATACACTCTTGCGGGGTGTCGACTTCAGGCCCATTTTCTCCCCCTTCCTTCTTTTACAACCCAATTACCGGCCTTGCTGCCCGTCACCCACTTCTTGTCCCACCTTGGGTCTCGTCACTCGAGAAAGTGTATTCGCTCAAAACGTCTGTGTCGTTCTGCTCAACTGTGTGCTTTCATGAAATTGAAGGACCACCCTTAGCCGGGACCAGGGGCACTTGGCACCAGTTGATTTATGGATATTCACATCGTGGGCTTTCCGGGTGGTTTCTTGTATTTCGGGGGGTGTGATGGAGGAGCACAAGCGTGTCCGATCTGGTTAGGAAGTGGCGGAAAAAAGATCGCAAGAGCCGTTTGGAATTCTACATGCAATGGTCGTTTGTACCTTGATCAGTGCTTATTTTGTCGGAGGAATGCTGCCGCAACATTGCTCTCCAAGTGTTTCATGAAAAATTGTGCGCACACGGTAGAAAATGATTCAGCCGACAGTTGGAGTAGCATAAGAAAACATAGACAAAGCTGATTGCAAGGTACGACTTGTTTTATTATTGACTTCAGATTTGCACGATTTTTGTTGCTTCTGTCCGATTTTGCCTCATCCAAGAAATTCCAAATTAGAATTGGCTGATTGTAGACTGGCACCATGATTGGATATATACGAGATCTGGACGCCAGCTGTTGTGTTTGTGTATACCTTACGGTGGTCGCACTTATTTCAATGTTCCTCATGGAACATGTTAATATTGACTATTAAGAAAATCTTAGTTACTCAAAATAGTCAGATTCACTACCGTGAACAACACAATGTCTTATAAGGAATCTACGCTAATTTAAAGGCATATAAAGGAACATTCCTTTTGAATGTTTTCTCATGTTTCTTTGTACAGTAACGATGAAGTAAGAGCATTACTTTAGCGAAGTAACTGTAACAAGTTACTTCATAAATTTTGTAACTGTAACAGGGTTACTTTTTGGCCTCAGTAACTGTAACTGTAATACTGTTAGGTTTTAGCAGTAACGTGCCCATGACTGCAGCTGGGCCAGTCCTTCTGATACCACGATGCGTGCGAGTGCACACCAAGTAGCTCGCTAAAACGAGCGTTGGAGTCCTCACAGGCAAATAAACAAAAAGGTTATACTGAATCTACACGGGCTACAGATAAAAGCAACGGCTAAACATGCCAATGACCAGCCGAAGTAGCGGCGGTAGCGGCTCAAAAAAGTGTTCTTTATACTGCTCGACCGCACAACAGGTACGCCCGTTCGGACCGGAGGAAAAAAGAGAACGACCACGACGTCAACGGCCCAACGTTGCTTTAGCGATCGGTAACCCACTGGCAGCCTGCTAAGGAGCAGCGGCTCACAGCGAGTCACATTTTTATTATCGGCATAAGTTGGGAATGCGACGTCCCCTTGACGTAATATTTTGGCTGGGGTCGTATTTTGTGTCACTAAAGCGATACCAGTAATTTATTTCCTTTTGAGTTTTGGTCGGAGTTGCTCTTTGAACATTTATACCTTAAAAAAGAAATGTGTTAAGCAATTTTTGCATAATATCTTGTCAATAAAGCGTCAAGTGCCGGCCTCACCCGTGCTGCGCGCTGGGACCGTCCCGGGAATGGTGGTGGCGGCCGTCCTGGTGTCGAACGCGCTCCGGGGCGGACGGTCTCGTGCGCCCAGCTGCGAGGGACGGTTGGCCTGGGACGCGGGGTCCGAGAGTTCAGGCTGCAGCTGGGCAGCCTGCTGCTGGTGCTGTGCCGAGGACGCCACGGCCAGCCGCCTCTCGTGCTCCAGCCTGTTCTGCCGGCGTAGTTCATCGTACGAGGTCTTGTACTGCGGCGGCGGGAGGTCCTCGGGAGCTTGCGTGGCGTTCGGGTCTGCTCGGTTTCGGGTTTGGGACGAAGAAGAGAAAGGGGTGGGCAGAAAGGGGGGGAAAGCAGTTAGGTTTATTGAGTTTGTCGAATCATTGCTGGCACCTCCTTTTTATTTAGAGATATGTTCTGTTTGAAGGGAAACTAAACTCGACCCTAAAATGTTTTTAAAGGGCAACTCCGCTCAATTCCGAGGGATAATGAGTGATTTCGAATTAAAAAGCCCTAGTAAAATACACTACGTCGTTTGCTTCGTGAAAAATGGGATATATATTTTTAAATCTAATTTTAAACACGAGCGGAAATCGAAACCGAAACTTCGGCTCCGTCTGGCAACATTGGCCTCGGGCCGCCAAGTACATGGCCATCACGTGGTACGAGATGTCACGTGATCCTCGGCCCAACGACGGGCGGGATGGGGGCGGGCGTGCAGCAGGCGCGACAGAGGCACGAATGTCGTCTGCACCGCACTCTTTGCCACGTTTTGGTGTCTACCGCATTCGACGACGTCTGCACAACTGCGGCATAAGTCTGCGACTCTGCGCACGTGGTGTACATAGTGTGGACGAAACTCCGAGAGGAAATAATCACAAACGGTGAGACGACGACGGTGGTTGTGACGCGGAAGACGGCGGTAACGGCGGGACCACGGCGGGCGGTTTGTCTGCTACCAAGAAGCGCGCTGCGCAGGCGTGTACGCCAATCACGTGGACGCCGCTGAGCGCCGAGAGGCAACGTTGCTGACGTCATGCGCTACGCTCGATCGGAGAAGTAAAAACAAGCAAAAGGGGGCTATGATGATGACGTTTAGCTCAATGTGGGCTCCGCCCATGCCGTAGCCTTGACTGCGCTGTTGGTTGCGCCTGAATTCGCCCGCTTGAGTCAGCCGATTTCGGCAACTTGGCAAGTTGCAAAGTTTGCCGGACCATTTAAGAAACATTTAGACAAAACTGCGTCGTAATATTTGACGTGTGGTCTTCCTAGGCGATACTGAAGACTGCATTGTTTTTTCAAAACCAAAAATGAAGCGGAGTTGCCCTTTAAAGGGGTACTTTGGCGTTTTCTTCATAGTCCCCGATTTGCCTGAAAATTTCCTAAACACACAAAGAAACATTGCTGAAATAGTAACCAAAATATTTGGCCAAAATAAATTTTTTTTCACAAAGTTATTGATTTTGCAATTTCAGTCTTAACCTCGTTTTTCAAAGTGAAAAGCTCTACTGGCAACAATGAAAACGTGACGTCGGGGGAAGGCAGGGGTTCACTCTTTGGGCGGTAGACTTTGTTCCCAACTGATTACAAACAGCTTCATGGCGTCAAATGAATGCTTTGGAAGGTCGCTCCAGCTCCCGCGCAGCGGCATGAAACAAATGCTCGGCATAGTTCATTTTTAGACTGCCCGCTCGACCCGCAAGCCTGCCCTCCCATGACGTCACGCATTGAAAAGCGCGGGCATATTTGAATCTTGGCTTTGGTGTCATTTTCACTCGTCGATTTCACAATAACTATTCTGAATTTCGCTATACTAAATAGCCTATCGGAAAGTGTAAAGGCTGGTGAAATTGAAAATATTGTTACTTGGGGTAGCTCGAAAAATCGCCGGAGTATCCCTTTAAACACCTGAGTAGGACGCCTAAAAGACAAAACAAACTTTCCTTGAAATAAACTTAAAAAAAAAAAAAAAGTGCAAGATTTACTTTTTGGGGCTTAATAAGCTAGGAGTGATTCAGAAACATGCTTCCATTTCGGGGTCAACGTCCCCAAATATTTTCCGACATACCGTAAAATACCGAGCATTCGCCCATTCCCTACTAAGTGCCCACCCCAAAATTTTGCAACATCTGATAAAATATGCACAGGAGATATATAGGTAAAATTAATGACCTAACAAGTGCTCATTTCCCAGTTTTCGCGATTATCTTCATATTTTGAGTGGGCGCTTGCTCGGTATTTTACGGTAGTTTGTATGTGCCTTTTCTCGACGTGCCGATAAAAGACCAAAAGGAAGAGCCAACATTTTCTGCGTACAAAAAGACTAACATACACTGGGCAGTAGCTTTGGTATGACTCAAACCATCCCACCAGTCATCACAAGGTGTCGGCGGCCGGGACACTAGGGTACAGGTCAAAGATTATCCGCTCGACTGAGGCTGAGATACAAAAGGAGGAGCAAACGGTCTTTGCTGACCTCGGGAAGAATGGCTACATGAGCAGTTTTGTCCACGCCTAAAATGTCACCAGCATTTGCAGCCACAGGAAAGTATGCAGTCCTGGCCAACCACGCCCATCAGCGTTCCCTATACGCTAAGAACAAGTTGAGCGCTGGCACATGTGCTGGCTAGAGAGGGGATTCAGATGGCCCACGAGCCGATGTCAACACTTACACGGCTTGTGCCACGACCAAAAGCTGTCCCCTAAAGAGAAAGCGCGAGGCGTCCTTTTAGGATTCCCTGATTGTCCGGCCACATATGTAGGCCAAACCAAGGACTTTTGGGAGAGGATCAGCCAACACCAAAAACGACGTTCACAAGTTTGGCCACGAGTGCAGCGCGGTTGTCGAATGCTGCAAAGTCAAAGACCGCCGCGCCGACTTTAAGAACACCCGTATCCTCAAAGTTTAAGCCAACTGCCGAGAGAGCCTTTTCTTAGAATCTTAGCACATACAAACTAGGTTAAAAAAGATAAATAGGTCCTATGGCGTTTCACCGTCCACCTACGTTACACAGACTTCGAGACATCACCAAGTTGAGAAGAGATGCACCGCTGCAAAAGGAGACGAAAACGAAAATGCCGCTCCTCAACTTCCGTCGCCAGTCATCCCTGAAGAAGAGCTGAGGAGGTCTCGAAACGTTGGGTTCCCAATAAAGGCTTGGTTGGACGTCCCCCCTTTTTAATTGTACCACTCAAACAGACTGATCTCAGTCGAATGTTCACGTTAAAATTAATGGTACTGCACCATTAATCTATAGCTCGGCATAAATCAGTCACAAAACTACGTGCTCCTGAATTTTTTACAAGATTGTGTTTAGGCAGTGTTTCTGATATTTAGGCAAACATGATTATGCAACGAATTAAAAAATAAAACCTTGTTTAATAGATGAAAAGAAAATTTTCAGAGAAATAATTGATTTTTTGCAGTGTCTCATAACAACTTCGTCTTTATCAGACGGATGCCACCATTCCGCCTCCCACTTTACATACATTTATATATTACTCAGACTGCAATGTCTCATTTTGTATTTTATAGCCACGAGCAATCTCACTTAGCTATTTTGGCTGTAACAACAGTCAAAATTATTTTTTACGTCTCAGGTATGCACAAATTAAGTAATGCAGCTGACAAACAAACAGAAAATAACATGGTTAGCTTACAAGAATGCTACAAAAAGTAAAGTGTTAAAACCTTACCTCCGTTTGAACCTAAAAGAAAATTCAAATATGAGTCTATGAGACGGTGCGAGGTATGGCGACACTGGTTTATGCAGTAAATGAGAATTTTAGACAATGCATTACCACTGCTAGCCCAAGGTCTTTCACATGCATTGCGCAGTAGTCATACACAACTGCATGCCGGTACGATGCTCATCCAGATCGAAACGTGCACGGTTGGAGACTGAACCCAGGATTTCTGGGTTTTGAAGAGCGAGCTTTCGCTCCTTGTGCTTTGAGCGCCAACTCACTTGGCCACCAAACCCCTTCGAGTGTCGCCAACGTACAGTAGGCTCACAATAATTGAAACTCTGATATTTCGTACCTCTAATCAATTCAAACAAAGTCAAAATTTTGGATGTCTCGCTACGTTTTGAATGTATTCATGAGCCGCATAACTCGAACGGCGTTTTCGGACAATTCATACTTTTTGTTCTCGCGGCCCCGTTGAGTGCGCTTCTTTCTGAGCACCAATGCACCGCACAGAGGCAACACCCGCGGAGCTTGCTTCCGCGGGTGTTGCTTCTCCGCAGTGCACCGGTGTTCGGTGAGAAGCGCACTCAACGGGGATTGAGCAGGGCACACATGAGCTATGAAAACTGGCACCGCGCAGAAACTTCCATAGCAACTTGTGTGGACGCTGTGACGTGGCGGCATGGCACAGGTCCACGTCATAGCATCTGCGCAAGCTGCTATATAAAGTTCCGCGCGGTGCCCATTTTCATTGCTCATTTGTCCCCTGCATAATAGTTCACAGAGAACTTCTTGGCACGATAAGCAAACTTAATTTTGTTCTGAGTTGTTGTGTGGTGTCTAAACAGTCCACAATAAAACACAATTCTGCAGGATAAATAAACTTATGCCATACATTTCACAAAATGTTTCAAGTGTCGCATACCTGCTTATGATCAGTAGGCCTATGTAGAGGAAGTCCTAAATATCTGCTTTATATGTGTAGCCATTCGTGCGGCAAATAATTTCATCTAGCTTCATTGTTTAAATGAATTTCCATTAATTTAAACTTCCGATAATTCAAACAAAATTCGTGGCTTCCTGAAGTTTGCACTGACGAGAGTCTACGAGGAGGTGCTAAAGCAGGTCGACTCACTGTCCATGGATGGCCTGAAGCTGTCGTCCAGGCCCTGGTAAGTGGTGTGTCCCAGTGTGTCCAGACTGCTTGGCCTCGAGGATGACTCGGCGATCCTGCTCGAATACTGGGGATCCTTGAGGGTGAAGTCCAGCACTTGGTTGCTGTCCTGCGGGTCACCGGTCCTGCCGTGGCGGAACAAACCGTCCACAATCTCTCGGGAGCACGTTCCTTTCCCTGCTGAGCACACCGTGTGGCACACTATTCGTAGCTCACCCACTCACGGAAAAACGAAGTACATACCAGAAAAACGGAGACGGCGGCAGGGATTGTCGGCCTTGGCGCTGCTGTTGCCGCATGGTTCTGATCAGCGTGTTCGTGCATCGTGCCGTTTTAACGAAAATAGTGTGAGCATTAAAATAGGGAGTTGTTTTGTTCTGCTCCGTGACCTTAAAAATCAATGCATTAATTATTTTAATTCATGTCGACAACTCCCTCACCTGCGACATGCTCCCACCCTGACTGCTTTTCATTTGTAGCCAAATGAATTAATCTCGGCACATTGACCAGCGTCAGCGAGCAGGTGCGCACGAAATCCTGGAGAAAATCTATCCCAGTCTCTTCTGCCATCTTGCGACTACCGCCCCGCTATATATGGGGCATTGGAATTGCGGATGGTCGCTGGCGAGGCGAAAATGGCAGGGAGGAGCTTTGGCTCTCCCACCTCTAGTGCGAGCTTCCTACGTTCAACGAACGACGTTTTGGCACCTCGTGTGCCTCGAACCTGCACACGCTGTGAAAGCACGGCGGAAGACACGGAGCGCATGCTGGAAGTCAGGCATTTAAAGGACACACCCTGCCGTCTTCACAGTCCCTGATTCGCCCGAAAATTTGCTAAACACGTCAACAAACTTCGCTGATTTAGTAACCCAAATATTGGGTCGAAACAGTTTTTTTTTTTTTTATAAGGTTATTGAATTTACGTTTGGTGCTCACCCTGTTTTTCAAAGTGAAAGTTTCTACTGGCAAGAATAAAAAAGTGACATCATGGGAAGGCAGGAGTTCACTCTTTGGACTGTAGATTTTGTTCCCAACTGATTATGAGCAGTTTCTAGTGACAAATGAATGCTTTGGAAGTTCGCTCCAGAGCCTGAGCAACATCACGATATGAATGCTTGGCACAGTGCATTTTTAGACTGCCCGCTCGACCTGCAAGCCTGTTTTCTCCTGACGTCGCGGTGCGGAAAGGCGCGGATATATTTGAATATGGGATTCGGTAAGATTTTCACTTGCCAATTTCACAATGACTACTATTCTCAATTTCGCAATACTAAATAATATACAGGAAAAAATAAAGGCTGGTAATTCCGAAAATACAGTTACCGTATATACGCGTGTAATGGCCGCACTCGTGTAATAGCAACACTCCTAACTTTAAACAAAAAAAAGCCGAAGAAAATATATCTAAAAATGACTCGTGTATAGGCCGCAAATACAATTTTAAAATCGTAAATGCAGCCATTTCTTTTTTTTCAGGTATTGCCGGCAGATGGCGCCCAACCGGCTGCGGCAGCCAACAACACTGAGGCACACTGTCCTGTCTGTTTGCGCCTCCCGCTTCTTCTCGAACAATCTCGAACCAGATGCAGTGCATCTCTTTGTGTTTGCGAGTACCCCCGGTTTCCCGCTGCCACCCACTTCAGGCTTCTGGAGGGGGAAGTATACGAGTTACACGGTCGGCTTTAAACTCAGTTACTGCCTTTCCTCAAGACGACAACAAAAGAGCAGCCGGGCGAAAGTTCGGTGTCGACGAAGTCCAGACGCCAGACGCCGAGACAAGTTCCGAAGATGAGTGATCTACTATGGACAAGTGAAAAGGACTTTGCACCTATGCAATACCCACAGTGGCGTACTAACTTGTTTTTGAGTGGGGGGGCAAACCAGACCCAACCCGACCGACCCCCCTCTCCTCCCTCCCTCCCTCCCCCTCCCTCCCTCCCTCCCTCCCTCCCCCCCCCCCCCCCCCCCCCCAGGGCCGGGGGCGGCGCCCAATAGACCCTTTCCAAAAGTCAGTCTACCCACCTTGTGCAAAGCCAGACCCGACGCTCTAATGGCGGAACTACACTGTTTTGCCACACCAGAAAGATTGAATGTCTTCGAAAGCATAGAACAAAAAAGGACAAAATGTTGATCGCTTCATGTCACCTTCGATGCACGAAATCGAGGGTGCTTGATTTAGCCCCGCATGATCTCCTATTGACGCCATTAGAGCGGCAATAGTGGAGCTTTTTGGACTGCCACAAGAGGACTCTGACTTTTGAAAAGGGTCTATTGGTATCCCTTGGGCGCCGTCGGCCAGTGTTTGCCCTGCCCAGTGACGGCTGTTTCAGGAGGGGGGGATGGGGACCATGCCTTGCCCCCCTCCCCCCCCACTCTGAGAACTGGGAGGGGGGCAAGCGTCCCCCTTGCCCCCTCAGTTGGTACGCCCATGAATACCCATAAATGATTTCTTGTTCTACCAAGGCGCGTGAGTACTTCCATTTAATCAATGCAAGTAGTGAAACTTTTGACAAAAAAAAAGATTTCCAAAAAACCTTTTCAGTTTTCTCCATGTAATGGCCGCACCCCTAGTTCTCGCCCGAAATCATTAAAAAATACCTGCGGCCATTACACGCGTATATACGATAGTTGGGGTAGTGAAAAAGATCGCCGGAGTGCCCTTTAAAGGGTCACTAAGGTGGACTACGTGGTCATCTTTTTATGGTACAAACTCAACCTAAGTATTCCAACAAACCATAAATCACAATCATGCGCCACCTTTTCTTCTCCTGAGAAGTGCGATCAAAGATGACCGAGGCGCTTCTTTTTTTCCTCCTACCCAGATCTATCTCAGGAAAAGGCGGGGTCGGGTCACAGTGTTTTGTCGCGTTTTCTCAAATGCGTGCCTGGACAAAAGCTACCGAGCGACTCTAGCACCGAAAAGAAACAAATGCCAAACAAAATGAAAAAAAAAGAAAAGCGAAAGGTGCTTACGTTTGGGATGACGACAGCCCTCGCTTGCGTCGAATGGCGTCCCCAATGACGCTTCCAGGCAGCTGCATCAATTTCTGTTCGCATGTGCTCTGGTACGAGAACTTGCCGATCAGCCAGCCAGCAAATCCGGCGCCTGCAATGCAATCAAATTTACTCAGAATAAAACAAGAAGGGAAAAACATAGGTTTCTGTGTCTGCCATACCTTATTTTACGAAGGTTGGATTGTGCCCGCCAAATTTCGAGAATTCAACTGCTTAACTGGTTCTATCTAAGCTGACAGTGTGGTGGAGGCTACGTTCTCGCTAGACCGTTCGTACAACAATCTTTAGCCACATAATCTCGCTCCTGTTCATACACACGCACAGGGATAAGCAGTATTTCAAATACAAGTATTTGAAATACGTATTTCAAATACCTTGTGTATTTTGCATTTGTATTTAATTACAAATTGGGTAATGTATTTGACGTGTGTATTTGAATACTAAAACGTGGGTGTTTCAAATACGATTGTAATTAAATACAATTTTGTGGGCGAAAATACTTTCCTCAAATTTATTGTCACTATCCAGAGCAGGAAGAAAACTATGTTCTGCACCGAATGCAGTGTCTCTCAGTCAAGCACAAGCGTTTAGTGACTTTGTGATTACGGTGCTAGTCCAGGGCAAGAATAGTGACGAAATCGACGTTCACAGGCAGACTGGCTAAATAAGTGCCTGTAACAACTCGTGATGCTTTCCAGCCTGATTTCCATCCACATTTTTGCCTGGAACATTATAAATGCGCGGGTCGTCCAGATTTTCGTAACTGGTGCGAGTTGCAACAATGAAAAAGTATCTAGCTAGTGCTGCGCGTCTTGGTCGTCTCGGTTCTTTGTTGGTCTATACCAGGGGTGTCTAAGCTGCGGCTCACGAGCCGCATGCGGCTCTTCGCGTGTTAAAGTGCGGCTCGCCGCTCCCTCCCTTACCCCTCCTCTCTCTCCCCCCCCTTCCTCCCTTCCGCAGCACTTCCCCTAAGAGAGAAATGAAACGTGTTTTAAATCGAAAGACAGGTTGCAGTTTGGTAGTGTTGTGCTACTGCTTCCTTACACACAATCGTACTGCTTTTGACTCAGATAGACCGAAATTAGTTCGAGTCGAATTATTTCGAGCTCTTAGGCCGGGTCAGCCTGGCCACCCCTGGTCTATACTAAAATGTAATCGACAAAACGAGCTGCTTGAAGCTCTGTACTTTTTTCACCTATTACGTTCAAGCTGATTACATTTTTTTGTGATTATATTTCTATTACGTTACTAGAGCCTCGCACACTAACTCCCGAGTGTGCGATGCAAAATTAAAAGGAGATACTGTACCAAGAAACCCGTTGCAGGTGCCCTGAAGTCGCTGACGCAAATTTTGAGGAATGTATTTGGAAAAGCATTTGTAGGAGACCAAATACGTTTGGTTGTATTTGTATCTTGTACTTAAATGCTTTTTTGGAAATGTAATTAGATTTGTAATTAAAAACATTTTTGACGAAGTATTTTGTATTTGTATTTCGATACATATTTGCATGTATTTTGCCCATCCCTGCACACGCGCAGGGAGCGAGGTCAGGTGGTGAAACGGAGGCTATTGATTGGTGCAACGAACGCGTAGCTTTCACCACACTGTCGGCTAAGGGTTACAAGGTATATTTTTTTTCTATGTATAGTTGAAGAATGGATTCGGCTACCCAGCAATATTCATTGAATGCTTTCCAACGCGTTATATTTTTTATGTTTGTTAGGTGAACATGATCAATGCTTTCTTTTCGATGTTAAAAATCACCCTTCTATAGACGCTTTCAGCGAGTCAGTTACTCGAGCTGCCACCAGTCGGCGCGCCCTTCGCGCGCTTTCCGGGCCGCCATAGCCGACCTTCATTCCTCGCCGTTGCTCCGCGTTGTGTGCTGCACAGGCCACTACCGGAGCTTCGCTTTCGTGTTCATTTACGTTCCGCGTTGAAATCTTGCACTTTCTTTGGGTCTTTTCGCTATTTAGAACTTTCATTTAATCATTTGATATTTATATTTCGACATAGCTCTTGTATTTTCTTATTTATGGAATGGAATCCGACAGCGAATGGGTCGACGATACTTATGAGGCTTCAATGACCATGTAAGTTCATCCCATTCTTACGTTTTTGTCGCTAATAAAGGGCAGTCAACACTATTGCGACATATGCAGATTGCAACTGACGCAGTAAGGCTATCGCAGTCGTGCTTCTCGCTGCATGTGCGCGCTCGTTTCTGTAAAGCCGACCCGCATGTCAGCGATTTAGCGTGCGACGAGACGAGCGACGGAGATTTTTTTTTTCTATTTACAAATACTGTCGCCTGTCGCATCGCTCGTTTTTTGGGGTTTTTAGAAAACGTCGCTCACCGTCTTGGTCGCTTGCTTCGTCACTTCCATGCGGTTTGCCTCGTTGCGCGACTGACTGAGCGACAGCAAAGCGGGTCGCAGTCGCTTATCTGGTCGCTCGCCAAATCGCTTACATGCGGTTTATACTCAATTAATTTCCATGCACACAGCAATGAACCATTGGCGCCTCGATATTAAGTATAAACCGCGTGCAAGCGATTCGCCGAGCAACGAGACAAGCGACGGTGACCCCCTTCGCTGTCGCTCAGTCAGTCGCGCGACGAGGCAAACCGCATGGAAGCGACGGAGCAAGCGACCAAGACGGTGAGCGACGTTTTCTAGAAATCCCAAAACCGAGCGATGCGACGGGCGACAGTGAGAAATCTCTGTCGCTCGTCTCGTCGCACGCTAAATCGCTTACATGGCGGGTCGGCTTTACGGAAACGAGCGCCCACATGCAGCGAGAAGCACGACTGTGATAGCCTTACTGCGTCAGTTGCAATTTAGATATGTCGCAATAGTGTTGACTGCCCTTTATTAGCGACAAAAACTTCAGAATGGGATGAACTTACATGGTCATTGAAGCCTCATAATCTTGTATCGTCGACCCCAATCGCTGTCCACTTCCATTCCATAAATAAGAAAATACAAGAGATATGTTAAAATATAGATATCAAATGATTAAATGAAAGCCCGAAATACCGAAAACACCTAAAGAAAACACACGATTTCAACGCGGAACGTAAAAGAACGCGAAAACAAAGCTCCGGTAGGGGCCGGTGCAGCACACAACGCAGAGGAACGGCGAGAAACTGAATGGCGGCTATGGCGGCAGGGTCACGTGACGCCAAGATGGCGGCGCCCATGAAATGTTGCCTGAAAGGGTCTATAGGGTCGAGTTTATTAGTGTTTGTATATTTTTGTGTATGTGCAGAGTCTATCTCGTATCTAATCTTAACGTTCCTTTACCAAATGCCCTTGGGATGATAAGGGACAAATTGAAAAATAAATAAAATAAATTTGTCCGGTCATGCTCGACAACCTATTAGTGGACATTACGTTAAGCTTGAAACAATGCAGGGTCACAAGTGCAGGAGTCTGTTAGATAAACCAGAAAAAAGAGCTTCCACAACAAATTTAACAACACCGAAAGGTATGGCTTCCAGTTCAAGTGACATGCTTTCACTGTATTAGTTTAAAACTTAAGCAGAATGAGAGATCTAGAGTTTCAGGGCTTCCCCGAGAACAGGCTTGCAACAGATGTACTGTGAACATCTGTTAATCAGTCGCCTGGCTGACTTTCTGTGCATTTGTATCAGTTCTGTATACTGCTGGCAGGTAGGTTAAGGTAAAGTCAGCTGATTAAGGTGTCCCCTGGTTGACTGACTACGGTTTCGGTTAGGTCCTCAAGTGCTTTCTTTCAATCAACAATGATAACTAAATTGAGACATACCGTAAAATACCGGGCAAGCGCCCACTCAAAATTTTGAGATAATCATGTAAAAATGGGGGATGGGCGCTTGTCCGGTCATCAGTTCTACATATCAATGTACTGTGCATATTTTCTCAGATTTTACAAATTTGGGTATGGGCGCTTAATGTGGAATGGGCGGATGCACGGTATTTTACGGTAATAAAAAGGAATGATGTAGCGAGTTTTGAAACAGTAAATGTTTTGGCAACGTTTTCCTTACAGCACCTATTTAACCACATGTAGTTCATTCTAATTTAGGAATCTCTCGGCATATGCGGGAGATGTTTTAGGCATTTTTTTTCTAAGCAAAATACTGTATAATAAATTGAGCGTAATAAGAAGCCTTGCTAACTTTGACAATACTATTTAAAACGTTGAAAACAGCATATCATCCAAAGACACTTATTCACTTGTGCCGCCCCCTTTTGCCCGAGCACAGGTGGTTATGTTGTATAAACACTTTTTAAACTATGACTAAGGCAACCAAGAGAAGAAATTGAATATTGAAACTCCACTTTTCAGAGCTAGCCCACACCCTTTCCCTTAGCCAGGTGACTCAGGATAAATCTACCATTAAGGGGGATCTATTGATGTGCAACCAAAATCTTGGTTACCACACCACAATAAGCCTCTGTCAGATTGCGGGCACCTCAGCCGGGATTCGAACCCGCCACCTAGACTTGGATCCACCGAGGCAGTGTTTTTCCTTAAAATAATACTTTTCTAGTTCCTTGCATGTCCATGTTCTGATGCCTCACTTCCCAAAAGTAGTGCCCAATGTTTATTGCAAGGCTCTGCAGAAATACACAAAAACTTTCAGCCTTTCCACTCTGGTGAAGAAGGAAGACCAGCGAAGCTGTACAATGGTGGGAATGAAGTAATGGCCGGCCACAAGTCGGCAAGCCAGAGTGGAAAGGCTGGAAAAGTTGCCGCGATCTATGAGCGACGGCAGCAACCAGACAACCGGCAAACACAACACTCTGGACAGCTACCACCGTCTATAAGCGACGGCGGTAGCTGTCCAGAGTGTTTTGTCGACATTCTTCTGCGGACGGACACAATCCTGGGGAATCTAACCCTTAAAGGACACATGCAAAGGAAAAAAACATTTTTTTTAAACAGCTTAGATGGAAAAAGGATATCATAAAACAATTTTACAGCCAAGTTAAAAAATTTTTAGAGCTATATTTACGGCGCTATACGAATTTGTAGTTGGCGCCGCCGGGCGCCGCGGAAAAGTGGTTTTTGTTTATCACGCGATGGGCCCATATTTGTCACGTGGTGCTTGCGCTCTTTCGGAAGCTTTCTATGGCCTCTAAAAGTAACTTATTCATCTTGGTTTGAAGTATAACAAAAAACTAAGATGATTAAGTAACTTTTAGAGCCCAAAGGAAACTCCTGAAAAAGCGCAAACAGACGTGATAGACCTGTGCGCCGGTCAGATGACGGTGGCGGTGCCCCAAAGCAGACGAACTTGTGCGGCGGCGGCGACGGCGGCGTGGAGAAACGCGTTGAAGCGGCGTTCGCACAATGTTCAGCGTGCGGCGGCGCGCGGGCCTACCACGTGACCAGCGGCGGCTCCCGCGAGCGCCACCTACAAATTCGTATAGCGCCGTAAATATAGCTCTAAAAATTTTTTTCTTCGTTGTAAAATCGTTTTATGACATCCTTTTTCCATCTATGCTATCTAAAAAAAATGTTTTTTTTCTTTGCATGTGTCTTTTAACAGCTCTGCTGTAAAAACAAAGCCTGAGAAGTGTTCCTCACCCACAACCTTCAGGGTCGTTCCAAATCTAGGATGAGCTGTCAGGTAACCTACAACAGAAACAGAAGAGAAGCAGAGCAATGGTCAAGGCTACAATTTAGAGAGGACGATCTGCAGCAGCAAAGGTCGTGCAAAACTAACCCAGAAAACAACTAAGAGCACCACTAGAGACATGCACATTTAGTAGAAAGGCATAGTTTGGAATGCATGTCTGAACAGGGCGTTTAGCATTTCATCCCTCCCATGCATCGAAGTGCCCACGAAAAGACCCCATATTACGTCGCCGGCAATTTAGAGAATGGCCGGGTCAAGCAATCGTGGTGGACGGTTGAGAAAGCGTGGAGCATCGAACAAGTCTCCGACTGGTGTGATTTTGCGATCTATGCAGAGGGCAAGTTCGCCTGCTTCTTCCACGGGGGTTGCGATGATGTCACAATGCCGAGCTCTTATTGGCTGATTGAACAAAATAGTGGGTAGACCTCAAGGCATCTAGCATTGGGGTCTACACACTATCCTTCCAATCAAAGCCAATCAGAGCTCGGCATCGTTTCGATGTCACTGCAACTCCTGCGCAAGAAGCAGACGACTCGCTCTCCGCATACTGCTCACACACATCGAAATTGGCCCCGAAATGACAACCAATAACGTCGCAAGAGCCGGTGTGACACGTTGCTGGATGTTATGATCCCGACGGTTGGTCGTAGGATCGCAGGCGAAAAATTTGGAGGACACTTAAGCTTTGCGTTTAAAAGTGGAACGCGATAGCGTTATCGGGCCCTGTTCACAAAACCTCCTCATTCACTTCTCATGCTCTTCTTGCCAGTGAGCAGGAAGTGCGGCGGACACGGCTTAGCCGGTAGCGTGTCTGGCTTGCACTGAAGGGACATGGCTTTCAAATCCCGCCTAAAATTCTTGAAATTTTTCTTTTTAAGGCAATTACTTTATAAAATGGAATCATTTGAGAGATGTGGCAACCTTTAATTCACATTACATGTCATGCTTTTTAATCACTTCCATTCCACATGTGACGTCACGTTTAACGAGAGCGTAGTAAGTTGTTTTAAATTCCCGCACAACGTCATGTGGCCGTGACGTTCTGACCCTATTGACCAATGAGGATTTTCGCGTCACGCCACCGAGGCCGTCTTTACTGTGACATAAGCTCCTTAACGCTGCCACGTTAAGAAGTATGAGTGAGCTCAAGTCTCGCCGGAATCACAGCGTCCCAACTCTCGGCGGACCATGGAAGCGTCTTCTACAGGTCATCGAGCCGGAGAGCGACCTGCAGCCGAACACGCGTCTGCTGCGTAAACCTTCGCCGCTGCGACCCCACCGGGATTGTGGCAGACGACAGTGCGACACTTCTACGATGTCCTCGAGCGAAAATGGAGGAAGCACAGTTTAGGATGCAGTAAATACACCAGCCAAACGTCTTGCGTTGGGCACACCGGCATCCAAACCAGTAATTACGCAGGTTTCCGTCTGCTGGTCAGACGGTAAACAAGCTGCCGAATGCAGCGGTGCTTTTAAGGATTTCAGATGTGCAGAGCTGTGACGGAAACACGCGGATATTTCGTGACCTAACAAATTCACGGTCGACGCGAGTCGGGAGTGCATTTCAAACGCCACATCGAAACAAACGATTCGACTCACCGGCCTTGGCTCCGTAGTGAACCGCCACCATCGCAGCAGTCGCAAATGGAAGGCCTAAAGATAAGAATGACGGGTCATCTGTACTGTCAAAGGATGCATACCATGCGTGAGAGTGAGGAGGAGGAGCGAGGAACTCACTGCGATAATAGAAGCTCTCTCGGTTGCATTCTTTGAGGACCCTCAGCTCTTCGGGCGTGAAGGCGTAGCGCTAGACAAAACATTGATGCGGCTCTATCATAAATGAAGCAGGCAGTGCGGAGAAGTTTCAAGGACGGCAAAGACACGCTCAACACGCCTGCATATGTAAAGAAAAAAAAATGATATGCAGATACGCTTTTATTTTCTAACTACGCATAACATGATCAAGCGGACCGACCCAATGTAGGAGGAATTCACTGGCGGCCAAAGCTGAGTGTGTTGCTGCTCGGCGTGTTGCTGATGGCAAGTTTCTACGGTGTTTGCAACGTGCATTCCACACCATCGAAATTGCTGGTTGTGGGAACCCATAAGTGTGAGCTTGTTCCGAGTGTTCCCAGTGAACATTGCACTCAAATATGACATCTAATGAATATCCCATTTGGTTAATACTTAAAACAGCAGGCATTGCTGGCATGATCAAGAATGTCACAGTGCCCCAAAGTCAATTATTATTTTTTTTTTTTTGCGTACACCTTTACGTTGCTTGAAGAAGACGCGTAAATGCTGATTAAAGCCTTTGTGTAACATGAATAAACGGAAACAAAATTAACCAACCGTCAGCATGTAAATACAAGCTGATGTAGGCAAATACCATATTCTGACTTCCAAACCTCGAAAAAAAAAAATTAATAAACTGCGCTCAATAATGTCGTCATAACTTCATTAAACTTCAAGTAGATGTTTTCGTAGCCGCCGTACGAGACGAGACGACAAATTCGTAAGCCGTCACGAAAAATGCTTACCGCGTGTTCATGCTATCGTACGCCGCGGTATGATAATGCTCGAAGCACGAATACGTTAGTCTGTATCTTATACTAATTAAAATTGCTTGTATCACGCTGGGTGAGCGTGACAAGTTAAACTTGAAGCTTTAATTAATAAAAAATAACGAGGCGGGCTCCGTTGCGAATCATCCAGGAAACTGCAGGTCCCAGGCAGCATTCGCATTTACTATGAATTCCTGTACAGCACAGTGAGAAATAAACAAGCTGTTGAAACGCGAGTTCTTTAGGTGCCACTGAATAGTAACGTTATTATTCACCTGTCCCTGAGGTCGTTGCTGATGTTCATAGCCGCTCGCCGATATTTCCGGAGGAATGATATCGCTCGAGGCCGCCATGTTTCTTCTGCAGCTCGGTCGCACCACTAGCGGCAAGAATGAGTACCACGCACACCAAGTAATGCTAGCATGCCCCCACCTACACCAGTTAGTATGTATGATCTCTATGCCTACTCCTAGCGCTGAAGGCTACAACGCCCTCACCTCTCCTGGCTCGCCCCTTTCTTTTTACCCTCAAACAAACAAACATCCCTCCCTAATTTTTCTTTCACCTCAAAATAACCAAAGAAAATGCCAGATCAGTTCTACAAGGACATACACGTCTCGTTTAAAATTATTATAAACGCATTAGTCGTGAACGATGACACAGCGAAAAGCCTGATACTTCTTCGCACTAAAAGGTAAAAGTGCACTCCGGCGATACGTCATGCAGTGTTGCGGAATGGGCACCCTCATTCCATTTCAATTCCATTCCGGGGAATTAGAGTTTGCGATAATTCAATTCCTTTCAACTCCTAGGAATGGGGACACTGGGCCCATTCCCACTCCTGGAATGGCTGAATCGTTTCATTCCATTCTTCTAATTCCTAAACGTAAAAATTGGCTTTCGACAGCTACATTGTGTTGCCGGCATAAGCACCATAAAGCTGACATTATCAAACGCATAGACAATTGCAACAAAATGCAAAATGCCTAAAAAAAGCACTGATTTTACTAAGCGGAGCGCTTGTGGCACAAAGGGTTTGTTTACATTGTACTGAAAACATCGAGAAAGCCCCTTGATATGTCGATGCTTGTTTAAAACATCGGTCTTTCGACCACGTGGCTCGCAACAAACAGCAAAACGTAAATCCACTAATTTTTTTTTTTTTGGCAATCTTTTTTTTGGCATTTGTCTTCTAAGACATACGCGGCCAGTGTGTTTGTTTCATAAGACCATAAAATATCGAGTTCGTGCGTGGCGCAGAAATAAGCTATATTAAGTACTCTATTCTTCGAATATCCGCATAGCAACACGGCTAGTACGCTGCTGGAAGCGACTCCATGCACAGTGGCAGGAACACATCTTCTGACAAAGTGCAACCTCTACGGGGCAGCACGAGACACCATGTCACGAAACAGTCTTTCTGCAGGTTCAGTCAGTTCGGTCACGCGACAAGAGCGGTGACGACAATCTACTTCACCTTGCGATGGACCGCAACAGACAGCACGAGAGCCATCGAAACCAATCCAGTGCTTTCTGAGTGTCGCCTGACCATGGAGCGCAGCAACGCGCCGTGCGTGTAGTCCCCCTCGCGGTGCTGGATTGCCTGGGGCGACTCGCTGCGTCCGCAGCGGTACATCACAAGGTGAAACAAAGTAGACGGAGTCTAAAGTCGAAGGAAATGAGCGGGAATCCGCTAGCTTGCCTGTAACCCTAACCCCAGGGCTTAAAGTCTGGGGGGTCTCGGGGGGTCTCGGGGGGTCTCGGACCCCTCACTGATTTTAAAGGATGGTCTGAGACCCCCCTCCACAGCCCTAGCATTAGTGAAATAAAAATAATATCTTGCAATAAAATAGCTTGTTTTCAGGGATGTAATTGAGGGTTGCAGGTACAGCGTGGGTAGAGTCAGCAGTGGGGTTCATTTTATGTGCATCTAGTACATCTCGTCAGAACCCCCCCCCTTCCTTTCCTCCTTGTAGGGACCCCCCTCAACTTACGGGAGACTTTAAGCACTGCCTAACCCACTCGAATGTAAAACATATAACACAGAAAACAAGCATCAGAACAAAGACCAAGTAAAAGGCGGACTTACACGTAAAAATGCAGAATAATAAAACAAGTGTCGGAGCAAAGCGCAAGAGGAGAAGAGAGAAGTGAATCTCGCTTTGTCTTATTGCCGAAGGAAACCCAGATTTCGCACTTCAAAGGCGTGCGCGCGAATGAACGTGGAAGGCAGCACGTTTGGCCACCTGCTAAACAACGCTCCTCGAACTATACAAAAACAATAACTGATCATCTTTCGGCGGCGCTAGTCAACGAGTTATCAGAGCTCTGCGAATTATGAGTCACCCCCGCTCTCAGATCTCAGTCTGTGCGCGCCTGTATTCTCCATGCCTTCGTTTCTTTTGTTTTGCTTGGTGCTTGGTTTCTAGTTTCGCTCGCTCTTGTGTAACGCCAATAAACCCCGTCGCCTGCACGAAAGGCGCCACCGCCACCCCCCCCCCCCCCCTCCTCCTTTCCCTCCCCCCTCTGCTCTTTGCTTTGACGCTTCTTTTTTGTATTGCATTTTTTGCGTATAAGTCTGTTAAAGCTCCACGCGGGTTAGCTGTTTCCCGCCCGCTCATTTTATTTCCGAGG